TACATCTTTTTGATGTATATAAAGTTAAATAAATATTTCACACACACACACACACACACACACACACACACACACACAAATCATCCATATTAAATTAGAAACAAAAGCATTTTCACTAGTGGTCTCAGAAAGTTGAGAAACAGCAGTCAAGCAGTGAAGAATACTGTCATTTACACATATCAGCATACTTATAACTGAACACATATATTCATTTATGCAAATTAAGGCACCCCTCTTTCCTTGATGATTGCTCTGCTTAAAATAGAAGACAAAATGAAATAGCTCTCAGTATAAACTGATTTGCAGTGTTTTCATTATGGGAATTCATTGATTAATTTGATGCCACAACCATTTGATTAGTAGATGAAGTGAATATGGGAATTTACTATTGATGAGGCGCTGATTTCTTGAAGAAACAATGCGGATTTGGGCATTGGGGATATTGAGCATTTATCTCTGTTCTCAGATAAGATTTTGGAATTGAAGAAGCCATCCTGCACAGACGCCTTAGTGCTCCACCGTGATCCAAACCCAGAGGCTAAAGCTGAGGTTTGTAATCCTTATCATTCTCTCATTAGCTGTATTTGATTCTTAAAACAATTTTATAGGCAACATCGACATAACTGCCATCGCCATACTGTTCATTCGTTGCCAGATCTTGGTCTTCGTGAAAATTGTTTTGGGTTGTCGTAGAGGCAGAAAGAATATCTAACTGATTTGTGGAAAAGGTCAGACTGTGGGCACAATCAGATTTGGAGTCCAATTAAGATTGAGTTAATAATCACTTTTGTTGAAGAGCGCTGTACCACAGTGTCCCCATAGGTGACAGCTTTTAAAATCTTCTCAGCCAGATTAATCCCACATAGTGATGTAGACATGTGGGGGCGTGTTAGAAAGAGCCGTTTTAGGTAGGCGTGGCTGACTCTTAAGTTGTATAAATATCTCTTTGGATTTGAGACTTTAGTCTTTGCAACTTTACAGATCTTCTTTATACACCAAGAGCTTGTAACACTCCAAAGAGAAAATGACCCCTTTAAAGCCTCGCTGTCTGCTGCCAAACCAAACTGAGTGATTCGATTTCAGATGTGATTTGGAATGATCTGCATATACAGTGTTTCTATGATAAAAATATGATACTCAAAAAAGTATGAAAATACATACATCATACAAATATTGACTTAAAATAATCAATTTTTAATTATTAGAACTATTTTGACTGATACTTTTCAGTACTGAATGATTATTTAATCTTAAATTTTGGGATTGCCCATGTGCTGTTTTTTTTCTTTTTCATTAAATTGTTCTCTTATCAGTATTATTTTAGCATTATTTATGAAGTATTTTATTAATATTTTTGTTTTTAGATTTTTATTAAGTTTTTATAACTTTTATATATGAAGAGTTAATTTTTTTTAATTTTCAAAAATCATGTTTTTTATTATGTAATCATGTTTTTATTGTGTTAGTTAGCTGCATTTTTTTGTTATTTTTTAACCTAATCAAAATAACCCGATTCATTTCCAAAAAATGTAGTTATCTGTTTTTGGAAATGAACTCTTCATATTTATATTTAATATTTCAGTTTTAGTAATTTAATATTTAATCTCTCTCTCTCTCTATATATATATATATATATATATATATACGTATATATATATATATATATACGTATATATATATATATATATATATAAATTTAAATGTCAAGCTGACATATCCTTTTTTGTGTGTGTATGTGTGTGCAGGATGGGCCTTTTATAGTCAGTATGGACGAGGACAACTCGCTCCAAGACAAGCGGCCAGTTGCATCTACGCCTATACCTGGATCACCATGGTAACTTCCCGTTTTGTCTGCACAGATATGATTGTATGGCTCGCCATCAATTTGTTGCATCTTTATTGCTAATAAATGACTCTCTGCATGCAAGATAATGACCAATCGATCGTGTTCTCGCAGTTGTCTCAACCTACACTTTCAAATGCCACTGTTGTAAGTGCACTATTTTCTCCTGTGTTTTGGAATGCTTTAATAGCCAATTTGTTCTTCTATAGTGACAAAGATGTTTGTTTTATCTCCTCTCATTCTGTCATAAATGTCAGCAGCTTTAGCACCATTTAAATGATGCATGCCGCTTTATAACTGTTTGATGACAGTAATACATGCTTGAATAAAATATAGCAGTGCACATGGCAAACCTCCAGCGCTAAACAGATGCACTGACACCCAATCGAAAACCTGCATTAAGACAACGTGTTATGCAAGACTTCCATTTTTCTCTGCCAAAGCAGTGTGGGCTTTTCTTCACTGCAAACAAACATTCACACACATATTTTTGAAGCCCAGGAGGTGTCATGGCTTATCGCGTTCAGCTTTTGTTGACTCACACAAACTGGCTTCACTGTTAAATGCATTTAACATGTGGTTGATGACACCAGAACTGGAGTTGTTGTGTGATAATCCAGATATGGATGTTACTTAGATTCCTGTGTTAAAAACCCATTTTAGAATGTAACCCAAAGGAAAGCTCATATGAGATCTCTTTGGTGTCTCAAATATGTCAAAAAGGAGATTGAATGGAGAACAAACTGAGAGTATTGCTTAAGTCTTCAACTTGTCTGATATTTCTTTTATCTATAGTTCAAGAAGAGACCTCAATAATGTCTCAAACTATATCAGGACAGATCATTTGGTTCAAACGTTCAGATTTTTTTCCAATTCTGATTCATTTGGGCATAGTTCATTTATAAACGTCTATTTTCTTTACTCAGCTAATTCTGTAAATTGCATGGGAAACCTTGGAATATTAATTATATCAGTTTTAGACATAAAATAACAGTTATTTGCCAATAAAATAAGAGCCATTTTTTCATGAACAAGACTACACTGGTAGTGGTGCTGTATGTTTTTGATTCACTTTAAAGAATCAGTTCATATGAGTCGTTTGCTCATGAACGAGATTACACATACACGTGGTATATGTTTCGATCGTGAATCTTTCTGCACAGGCTGTGCTATACATATTTATTCTCTAAAAAGTACCAGTTCATAAGAGTCATCACAAATCAAACTACACTGGTTATGTTGACGAATGTTTTTGATTCAGTATGATAAACATACGAGTCATTGTCTTATGAATTAGATTACGCTGGTTGTTCTGTATGTTTTTGGTTAATTTAAAAAGTACACGTTCATATGAGTCATTTGCTTGTGAATTGGACTATGCTAGTGTTTTGCATTTTTCAGGGCATCTGACGTAAGAATAGCTTATAGTTGTTCTGCATAGTAAGCCGGGATGAAAGAAAGACATAAGAAAGTATTTTAGCATGGGACACAAAAAAAGCACTACTTTGCGTCTTCTAAGCCATAAAAGAACAACCTCTGAGCAATAAAATGGTCCTTTGGGTAGAGCTCTTGCTTCAAAATTGAATTTTACAGTTATTGTTTTATATGGAGGTTGCATAGAAATTATTTAAATCCCTGCAATATTAATGGAAAGACAAATGAAATGCGTGTCTAGTGCTAACCATATGTTTGCACTATGAATAACTGCATATGAGCAGAGCGGATGCTCAGTTTCAAATATTTTTTTTATATCATTGGGTCAGTTTTATGGTACAGGAAGGCACTGCCGATCTCCCTGATGCGATGGGGTTGCAAAATTAAATGTCAGGATTGGTTTGTCATGGTTGGCATGAGGTTGTATCAAATTACCTCACAGACTACTGCAGAATCCATGAATACTTTATCCGACATGCCCTGAATGGAGCCTGAAATGGGTCTCAAATGATCACTGTAAGGTAAGAATAACTAGTGCGGAACATCTGAGAAATTGGTCGCTTTTGGATTTGTGACATAGAATTAAATGTACAATAGGCTTGTAGATACTTGATGCTGGACATATTGTGGATTTATCCATTTGAAAATCTTGTGAACCTGCTGAAGACTGATTACTGTAAAATAGCAAGTGAAGACAAAAACACATCAAATTCAGCCCATTTGGTCTTAGTCGTTCTCAGCTGTCGTTTGTGACTCAGAATCCTCTCTCTGGGTCACTTTGGTGCTGCTGGGACTGTTTTTCGTCATCCAGATTTCTTAGTCATGTTGTGAGAATACCACAAACAGCCTGTTGGATTGTGTTTCTGTGTGTATACGAATGTATAAATGCATCTCTCTTTCTCTTCTGTAGGTGTGTAGTGTGGACAGGTGACGACAGGGTGTTTTTCTTCAATCCCACCATGCATTTGTCAGTGTGGGAGAAACCAATTGATCTGAAAGACCGCGGAGACCTCAATCGAATCATCGAGGACCCGCCACATAAACGCAAGAAAGACTCTTTAGGTAAGATTTTGACAGGAAAAAATAGACCATTCAGGCATATTTAACACACTCTTTTAAACATACCATACGATTCGGGACAATTTTAGAAGCCATTTAAGATGAACAGTGTACAAATTGGTATGCAGGCAATGTGTTTTCTGACCCATTTAATTGCAAATTTATTTATAAATGAAATCCAGATGGCACAAAGTGAAAATGAATTGAATTAACATCAAAAGTTCAGCAAGTATGAATTATAATTGAAACATCATCGTATTTAGAAATCACACAGACAAAAACTGCTATGGAAGATTCAGTAAATGTGTTAACTGTGTTAAAAAAATGTGATGCCATAAAACATATGCATATTCCATGAACCTGTTATAGGATAAGAGTAAATTAATTAATTCATTAACTGAAAAAAGTCTCTAATGCTCACAAAGGCTGCATTTATTTGACTGAAAATACAGTAAAAACAGTAATAATGTGAAATATTTTTGCAATTCAAATAACTGCTTTCTATTTTATTTGTAAATATAAAAAATGCAAATACAAATATAAACAGGAATAAATGTGTAATTTATTATTGTGATGGCAAAACTCAATTTTCATCAGCATTTGTGTCACATGCTCTTTCAGAAATCATTCTAATATGCTTCTTTGCTGCTCAAGAAACATTTATTATTTATTAGTAATGTTGAAAACAGTTGTGCTGCTTAACATTATTTGCTGAATAGAGAACAGCATTTTTTGTGAACAGAAATCTTTTGTAACATTAAAAATGTCTTTACTGTCACTTTTGATCACTTTTATGCATCCCTGCTGAATAAAAGTATTCATTAAAAAAAAA